GTCACCTTCCAGTTGATGCCTCATCAATGACCCCATTTAAAACCACAACAGCCCCCCACCCAGCCCACACTCCGGAGCCCCCTTCTCTAGGGAGTTACTGTCTTCTGGCCTATGTTTATCCCTTTTCTGTCCTATTTCCTGTGTACCCCTCTCTCTAACGCCACTCCACAGGGGCAGGAACTACGGTTTGTTCACGCTTTGTCCTCAGTGCCTAGACTAGGGTCTGGCGCAGAATTTGCCCCACAGCCCCGACACATTTAACCGAGTGAGTGCAGATGACTTGTCTAGGGAGGCTGACACGCCCCTTTCTGCCACGGGCACAGGGCCAGGCCGCTCCCTGCAGTGTTTATTTGTAAATAACGACAGGAACAACACAGAACTTGGGCGGAGAAGCTGCGTTAACATGTGGGGTTAACACGCACCTTCAGATCCGCACCTGCTCTGGGGGCGGCGCCGCTTTAAGGCCGCGCTGCGGCCGCGGGTGGGTGGGGGCTGCGGGCGTGACGTCACGGCCCCGCCCGCGGGGTGATGCTGCAGCCGCAGCGCGGGCCGGGGGCGGCCGGGCGGGGACCGAGCTGCGCCCGGCGGCAGGAGCCCAGCCTCCGGGAGGGATGCCGCCCGTCTGGACCCTCAGGTACCGCCATCTCCTCCTGCGCCCTGCGCCCCGCTTTGCGCCGGGAGCCCGCGGCTTAGGTCCCGGGTACCCAAATGCCAGGATTGGGTCTGAGGTTGGCACGGAGACCTTTGTTCTTCTTGGAAGTCTATTTAATTGAACTATAAATGGAGCCCCTCTCTCGCCCCCTGCGTGCAGCATCCCTGGGCCCAGACAAGGAGAGCATTTGGGTGACGGATTTTTCCATTCTTGCTAGCAAGGAGATGAGAGACACTGGAATTTTCCCCTGGCTGGGTGTGCTTGCGGAAGCCGCAGGCCTGTTCCCAGTCACCTGGGCAGGTGTCATCAGCTTCCGGTTCACCTTCTGCCTCAGGCCGAACCCTCCTGTAGGCCGGAGGCCATTGGATAAGCTCCCTCAGCATCCCAGGATGCTTAGGCAGAGACCAAGGATTTCTGCTTTCTTGAGCCAAGGGTAACACGGCGGGGTGGAAGGAAGAGGCTGCGAAGCAGTTCCGTTCGTTCTCTCCTCCACTATAAATAACTTCTCAGATTTCTGGAGTTACCATAACATTTGGGGTTTTTTGTTTGTGTAGGGGAGTAGAGGCAGGTGCTGAGGGAACCCAAGTTCAATGAGCGCCTGGCCAGGGCTTTGGGGAAAAGTTGGCCCTCAGCTAGGGGCCGAATTGTGGAATTGGAGAAGTGAGAAACAGGCTATGGTTCAGTGACTAGCTTGTTAGATACGTCCCCAAGTCCGCAGGGCTCTTTAGTGGCCCGGGAGGACTTCCTTGGGATCGCACTTTGAGAATCGGTGGAAGGAAGGGTGGCCCTGAGTGCCCTCATAGTGGAAAGTCTGTTGTCACACACAGGAGAGGAGAAAGAAATGAGGGAATGATTTGGGCTCAGAGTAGGACAATCTTAAGCATTCACATTACTCAGGCATCGTTTATTTTTATTAATCATTCTCAGCCTAAACTTCCCATACTACAGTTTGAGAGATTCATTTAACACCCTCTGTATTCTGAACACACAGAGGGCCCTGTGTGTAACCTTCGGGGGGCCCGGGGACGCGTGTGCGTTTTCTTTTGACTGAGTAAATGGTCCTGGAAAGTGATAAAGGTCTGGTAGAATCTGTGTTCATGTAGTCATATAGGTCATCATTTTCAATTTCACTTTCACTCATTTTTTTATCACATAGAAAAATGAATTTTAAAAATTGTTTAGAATAAACTTTCACCAACGGCTTTTAATGAATGTATTTTTTTTTAACAAAAATGGTGATACTGATCCCCAAATTTGTGAATGAACCCTTAGTGAAGACAGTCTTCAAGCTCGAGTTTCTTACTGGTCCAGATGCTGGAGCAGGGGTGTGGCAGGGCCCGAGGTCCTCACCGCTGCTGGCTGTGATGTAAAGTGGAGGTGGCAGGAGTTGTACGGGGGCAGGTAGAGACATGGATTATATACTTGGTCCCTTAGAACAGGCGTCCTCAAACTACGGCCCGTGGGCAACACGCGGCCCACAGGCCACATGAGGCCCACTGAGGACATTTATCCAGCCCGCCAGGTGTTTTTGCCACCGCTGCCTGTCCTGCTTAGCAGCCCACTCATCCCGGGGCCTGCAGTCCGACCCTCCAACGGTCTGAGGGACGGTGAACTGGCCCCCTGTTTAAAAAGTTTGAGGACCCCTGCCTTAGAAATAGGTCAAACAGACTGCCCTTTTCAAAAATCCACTCTGCCACATGCCCTGTAAGCTGAAAATTTTCTAAGCTGGACCCACAGTTCTTCATTTCAAAATTAAAAGGGAAGTTTCTAAGGCACGTGCACGTCTATTCACTTTATGGGGTAAGATGCTGAGGGAAAGAGGGAGCGCCTTCAGTGGGGAGGGCCAGGTGGAGAGAACGGGAAAGGGAGTTGGCCACTGAGGGAGAACGGGGCGTGGCCTACAGGTGAAGCCAGATCAAGCTCCCCCACTCACCTGCGGGGAACGTCTCAGGGGACTCTGCCGGAGCTGCTCATCTCAGGCAGTGTGGCAGCTGATGCTCCAGTGCTGTGCTCTAGTGAAAGAAGCTCCAGGGAATACCAACAGCTGCAGGGGCTCTGGAAGGAAGAGTGGCCGCTGACAGCTTGTGCTGTGCTGAGCCCAGATCTAGACCCATGGGGAACATGAACCAGCTTAATATTCTACCCAATCTTGACATAATCTTCATTGTATCTCATTATATCTCAACTGAAGTATTACTTATCTACATAGCTCTTAGGTCCACCTGTTCTCATCTTACAGGAGAGAGCGGCATTTTCTAAGGCCACGAGATAGGCCACTCATAGACGTAACAGTAGACTGAGTGTCACTCCCTGTCACCTCAGAATACAACGCATCTCTTAGCAGGACGGCCCTTCCTCATCAGCTAATGTCTTCATGGTGGCTTCATCTCTCCCCACACCCCCGTTGCGGTCAACGGTCACTCATTCCTCCACACGATGAGTCCCACTGGCCAGAACACCTTCCCTCCACTTTTCCACCTGACACAGGGCAAGAACTAAGTCGATCTTTCCCCCCTTAGCTCCTCCGGGTCTTGGTGTGCAATACTCAGCTGGATGGGAGGATGGATGGGTGGCGGAGGGAGTGGATGGATGTTTGGAAGGGTGGATGGGTAAACGGGTGGATCAGAGACTGGGTAGCTGAGGGGAAGGAAAGTTAGGGAGGTGGGCGTGTCGCTGGTTGGTGGGATAGATGGATGAATGGAGAATGAACGGAAGGGAGGATGGGTCGTTAGGGTAACACAGCGTTCTGAATCCTACTAGATCCATTCATTTTCACCATTGGTGTCTGCTGGAGAGAAGGAAGACAGTCCCTGAGTGGGTGGGCTGGTGGAGGAGTTTTGGATACAAATTTGGAGTGGGGAACTGCAGAATGATTCATAGAGAGGTCACCAACTAGCGAAAGTGTGGTGGAAAGTGGTGTGGTTTAAGTTAATATCAGAAATAAGGGACTTCTATCTGAAGCTTAAACTAATTTTAAAAGAAGGTTTACATTTATTTTGGTAAAGGCCAAGCATCATTGCCAGGAAAACAGTCCACGTTAGGAAGTTGCCCCGGTTTGGGGGCCTCCCTGTCAGGAAGGGCTGGAGAGGAAATGTAACCCCTTGCTCTGGTGGGAGGCGGGTACGTGGGCCGCGTCGGGGGGCCGTGCAGGCCCAGCCCTGGGCTGTGTTTGTATCTCTCTTTCCCTGTGACATCAGGAGCTTCCGTCTTCCTGTGCGTGACGGAGTGGACACTGACTAAAACACAGAAGTCAACACATTAGAATCGATTCCCTTATTAGGAGCTGGATTAATTTCAAAGCAGCGAAAAACAGTTGGATGCCCAGGAGTAGTTGGGCCTAAATGGCACAGCTTGCCATCCCCGGCGGGGCAGAGAACAGAGCAGGAGGGGAGCGGAGGGAGGTCTGTGAGGGCCTCAAACTCGTTCCTCCCCTACCTTGGTCACGGGCATTGTGGAAATTGCTCAAAAATAAGAGTGGAGGGGGATCTATGTCTCACCCTTTCCTGGTTCTTTTTGTCCCCCCCCCTTTTATTTATAAACTGTATGTTGTCTGTGCCAGTACAGGGTTCAGAGAGTTGGGCTCATTTCTTTAAAGAGCATTTTCAAGGACTGTGAAGGTCTCAGTTTTCCAGACTTGACTGAAAATTCTCAGGCCCAGTTGATACTGAAAGGAAAGAGTGTGTGTGGGCCCCTTTCAGCGGCTCCTGGGAAGAGTCCCCGGCCTCTCATGGAGGAGGAAACACAGGAATCGGGGGGAAGAGGGTCACTGGGACTGTCCACGCTGTGAAGAAGGGGCTGTCCCCTCACTGTGCTCACAGGTGGTCCCTGTCTCATATTCTGTCCCCCACCTTCTCTGATCCCCTAGGACTTTTAGTGAAGGGCAAAATTAGTCATGGAAATGGGCCACAGGTCTTAAAATAGCCTGGCGTCCTTCAGAGCCTCAGAGTAGCCACTGGGCTGCCTTTACTTCTTTGCATGGGTGACCTGAGAGAGACTCTATTTAGGGGACAGTCCCTTTGAGGTCTAGGGTAAGGCCCTGAGGGACTGCGGGTCCCCTCTCTGGGCAGGGAGAGCTGATGGCTTTGGTCCCCTTAGGTAGATGTGCTGCAGGGATGGGACAATGAGACCCAGCGACATTGTCTGTGTGCAGCAGGCTCTACCGGGGTGGGGGGGGGCAGGGGGCGGTGTCTGTCTCTAAGTTCCCCAATGTGAACTTGACTCTTCCCATATGAAAAGGATGAGTGGATGGGGAGGCGTGTGGTGGATATCTGGAAAAATTAACTCTCGTGATGGAGCGTCCCTAGTGAAAGTAACCGTGGGCCCTGACGGGTTTTCCTCGCAGGGACACCCAGCAGCCCTGCCTAGGATGATCCCCCCGGTGAGCAGCACCCCTCCGGGAGAGGCCGTCTTCCCCAGCACGGCTCCACAGGACTTTTGGAGGTCTCAGGTCTTGGCCTACTCGGGGTCCGTGACTCAGCACATCAGCCACCGGGCCAACAACTTCAAACGCCACCCCAAGAGGAGGAAGTACATTCGTCCCTCTCCACCCCCGCCGCCCAACACCCCATGCCCAATCGAGCTGGTGGACTTTGGGGACCTGCACCCCCAGAGGTCCTTCTGGGAGCTGCTCTTCAACGGCTGCATTCTGTTCGGCATTGAGTTCAGCTATGCCATGGAGACCGCGTATGTGACCCCGGTGCTCCTACAGATGGGCCTGCCCGACCAGCTCTACAGCCTGGTGTGGTTCATCAGCCCCATCCTCGGTGAGCCCCCATGCTAGATGGCCTCCAGAAACCTCTAGAAGCTTCCAGAAGCCTCCGTGAAGCAGCTAAAGGGTCTTGAGGGGATAGGAAAGAGCAGGAGTTCAGTTCCACTCCTTAGCATGGGGCCACAGCAAAACCCAGGTCTGGCCAGTCATGTCCCACGTATGAAGTCCCTTTATCTGACCCAGACAGGAGAGCAGGGACTTAGCCAACCCCGAGGATTGCCACCACCTTCGCCAAATTATCCTAGGAAGACCCAACCAAGAAAGCCTGTTGTGATTTGGGTCTGGCAGCTCCCCAGATTTCTTGGATTCCCAAGGAAAGTCATGGCTATTTAGTGCCTTATGGGGTCCAAAGCTGAAAATGGTAAGGAGCTGGGGAGCGACCCCAGGACCCTGCTTGTCTTTTGTTCTCTAGCTGAGGGTTTGGCGCTGACTCTCGCACCTCATTCTGCTGGTGCACTGGGGATGTTCAAGTGCAGGTACTTGAGGAAGGTGAGGAGCCAAGCGTCAGTGTCCCTGTGCCGCGGGACCCAGCAGTGACCACTGCCCACTCTGTTTCAGGATTCCTGCTGCAGCCTCTGCTGGGCGCTTGGAGTGACCGATGTACCTCAAGGTTTGGAAGGAGACGCCCTTTCATTCTTGTCCTGGCTATAGGTCTGTTGTTTTGGCATGGAAATAAAATGGAGAAAAAAAAAAAAGGCCCCAACTGCTTTTTATTAAAGGAAACGCTAAGAGAGTGTTGACCAAAGCAGTTCCCCGGGGCCCTATGGTGTGGTGCAGGGAGTGCCCTCTCACCTGAAAACATAGCCTTTGGATCATGTTTTTAAAATAAGCCAATAAAGTTCATCTCATTCCTGCTCAGCTTGATGAAATAAAAACCCTGATCCAGGAGTCTGCAGGCGACTTTTCCAGTGGGCTGGGCTGGAAGTTTAATGTTTTTTAATTCTTGGGTCCTAAAGATTTCAGACTTGAACTGCTGGGGACAGAGCTAGGCTGTGTCTTCTCTGGGTGATTTTGTCTCTCTGTCTCCAGGGGCGCTGCTAGGCCTCTCGCTCTTGCTGAATGGCAGGGACATCGGGGTAGCGCTGGCCGACACCGCAGGCAACCACAAGTGGGGCCTCCTCCTGACCGTGTGTGGGGTGGTGCTGATGGACTTCAGCGCCGACTCGGCGGATAACCCCAGCCACGCCTACATGATGGACGTGTGCAGCCCTGTGGACCAGGACCGAGGCCTGAACATCCACGCCCTCCTGGCAGGTGAGTCTCCTGCAGCTGGCCCCAGGCCAGAGCTGTGTGTTTAGCGTGTGCCCTTGAGGCCCTCTCTGATTTCAAAAGTGAGCTGATGAAATTCAAATATATGGGTGAACGCTAAAGTGGCTGAAAATGCGTATCTCAAACAATATAGATCAACAACCGTCTACATTGCTGATACATAATCAACAGTACTGTGCATATGTGTGGATGTGTGTGTCACATAAATACAGGTGTCTTTATATAGAGTTGATCTCATTATTACGGTACTTACATGCTGCACAGTCATCATGAACACGGAATTAGAGAACAATGAATATTTGCTCGTAAGAGAAATATAGGGTTAGGGTTCTGCGAGCCACTGGTCATTACCATCAACTGATCAACACACAACTTTGTTTCATGGGTTTCTGTTTAAAAACATCCTATTGAAAGCTAGATGCAATGTCTCACGCCTGTAATCCTAGCACTCTGGGAGGCCAAGGCAGGTGAACTGCTTGAGCTCAGGAATTAAAGATCAGCCTGAGCAAAAGCAAGACCCCATCTCTGCTAAAAATAGAAAAAAAAAAAGTAGCTGGGCGTTATGGTGGGCACCTGTAATCCCAGCTGCTAGGGAGGCTGAGGCAAGAGAATTGCTTGAGCCCAAGAATTTGAGGTTGCTATGAGCTATGATGTGACAGTACTCAACAGAGGGCAAAAAACTGAGACTCTGTCTGAATAAACAAACAAACAAAACAAAAAACACAGAAGAAATGTTTAAAAATCAAAGGAAGGGCTCAGCACCTGTGGCTCAAGTGGCAAAGGCACCAGTCATATACACCTAAGGTGGTGGGTTTGAATCCAACCTGGGCCCACCGAACAACAATGACGGCTGCAACCAAAAAATATATATATCCGGGCATTGTGGCGGGCGTCTGTAGTCCCAGCTACTTGGGAGGCGGAGGCAGGAGACTCGCTTGAGCCCAGGAGTTGGAGGTTGCTGTGAGCTGTGATGCCACAGCACTCTACCCAGGGGGACAGCTTGAGGCTCTGTCTCAAAAAAATAAATAAATAAATAAAAATCAAAGGAAAGACAGTCCAGGAATGGTGGCTCACACCTATAATCCTAGCAGTCTGGAAGGCTGAGGTGGGAGGATCTCTTGAGGCTAGGAGTTTGAGACCAGCCTGAGAAAGAGTGAGACTGTTATCTCTACAGAAAATAGAAAAATTAGCTGGGTACACACCTAGAGTCCCAGCTACTTGGGAGGCTGAGGCAGGAGGATCACTTGAGACCACTTCTCTCCATCCTGGGCAATGGAACAAGACTCTGTCTCAAAAAAAAAAAAAACAAAAAAACAAAAAAACTCAAGGGAAAGTCTTGACAAGACGCATGTGGAGCTGTGTCCGTGCATGAGGAGGTTGGGTCACCTGGTGGTCAGAGTCTTGGGCTCTGGGGTCTGAAAGCCTGAGTAGGTTCTGGGCTTTCCCTCCTGTCAATCCTAGGCTGCTGGGGAAATGGTTGTCACTCGTGTCTCATGTGGCAACCATTATTGTGTTTCCACATGTGAACTGTCACGGGCTGCTGTGTGCTGACATGGGCCAGAGGGCTTCTGAAGGGGCCGCCTGGGCCAGAGCTGGGTCTGAAGGGCTGGACTTGGCTTCTAACCTTATACTCATCTGCATTATTTCTCATCCATGAGAATGGATCACTTTGATCATTTAAAATAGTAGTTAATAGAGGCTGGGTGCGATAGCTCTTGTCTATAATCCTAGCACTCAGGGAGGCTAAGGCAGGAGGATCGCCTGAGCTCAGAAGGTTGAGACCAACCTGACCAAGAGCAAGACTCTCCCCCACCCCCCAGCCCTGTCTCTACTAAAAATGGCAAAACTAGCCAGGGCGTTGTGGTGGGTGCCTGTGGTCCCAGCTACTTGGGAGGCTGAGGCGAGAGAATCACCTAAGCCCAAGAGCTGGAGGTTGCTGTGAGCTGTGATGCCATGGGACTCTACTGAGGGCAACAAAGTGAGACTCTGTTTCTAAAAAAAAAAAAAAGTTATTATTTCAAAGGTAATCCTCTAATGTGGCCAGTTTTCCCCAAACTGAAAGGCGCATGCTGGTCTTGGGCAAGTTTCTCATCACCAGCAGGTTGTAAAATCAGGGAACCCACCTCTGTGCTGTGCGTGGGCTCAGAACATAAGTTTGCCCAAGGTTGCCACACACAGGAAAAATGGACAACCTCATATTTTATATTTAAAATAATGTCAACATCTATATGCTAACATATAGAGAAATGTTTCATATGTATTTTGTAAAGATTCATAATGAATATTTGGAAAATGAAGGTCCCTTTAGCTACAGTTTAGCTATATGTTTCCCCGATGTCTGTCTGTCTGTATGGTCACCTTTGGGGACCCCTGTATATTTGCACGCACAGTAAAACAAGCTACGCAGGGTCCACGATGGGGCGGAGGAGGGCTGGGTGTTGGGGCCCCAGGGCCGGTGGGGGTGGAGCCATCACAGGCTCCCCCTGCCCCTTCCCTTTGAGCACAGAGCCAGGCTGGAAGAATCAGCACTCCCTGAGGTAGGTCTGTCCACTGCGGCTGGCTGGGCCCAGCCTGGTATCACTCATGCTTTTATGTGGTGGCTTCTGAACCTGAGTGGGGGCAGGGAGGTAGGTAGGGGGCGGCCTGGCCAGTGCCCTGAGAAGATGGCAGCACAGGAACAGGAAACGGTGGACTTGCTGTGTCCTTGTTCTGTGCTGGCTCAAGGATCAGAGGGCTGCCCGCTGGCGTGGGTGACCTGGTCACCACACGGGGCGAGTCTCCTCATGGAGATGGTGTCGAGTGAACACCCACCTGCCCTCCTGTGGTCATCAGTGTGCTAGAGACGGGGTCCTGACTAGAGGGGTCTCTGGGGAAGATGTGCCCAGTGTAAACACTCAGGTCAGTGTCCCCAAAAGGTTACACAGAAAGGAGAATGAGACATGGGTGGGTGTCTGGTCTGCTGTTGGCACCGGAGCGGAGCCCTAGGGTTAGTGCTGGGAAGGGCCAGGCCGTTAGCTATGGAGGGCAAAGGAGGGGATGACCCCAGGGTGCCCACCTGAGGGTCCTGCCCCCACTTTTATCAGGGTTTAGGTGGACCTACGTCCAGGTCCTTGAAATACACTTTGCTCCTTAATGCCCTCCTGCAACCTGAACCACCTTCCCTGAGGGCCTTCTCTGCCTGAAACCTTCTCTCCCCAGGGCTTGGAGGAGGGTTTGGCTACGTGGTCGGAGGGATCCACTGGGACAAGACCAGCTTCGGGAGAGCCCTGGGGGGGCAGCTCCGTGTCATTTACATCTTCACCGCAGTCACCCTGAGTGTCACCACCATCCTGACTCTGATCAGCATCCCCGAGAGACCACTGCGTCCCCTGCGCCAGCAGAGGACAGCCATGAAGAGCCCCAGCCTGCCACTGCCACCCTCCCCGCCTGTCCTGTCGCTTCCCTGCCATGCGGCCACCAGCTTCTCCAGTCCCATCTCCCCACTCAGCCCCCTGACGCCCAAGTACGGCAGCTTCCTCAGCAGGGACAGCTCCTTGACAGGCATCAACGAGTTTGCGTCCTCCTTCGGCACCTCCAACATCGACAGCGTCCTCATCGACTGCTTCACGGGGGGCCACGACAACTGCCCGGGCCTCCCCGCCAGCCTCCCCAGGCAGGCCCTGAGTGTCAGCTTCCCCCGGGCCCCCGACAGCTTCCACCGCCAGGACCGTGGGCTTCTAGAGAGGCGGGAGGGTGCCCTGACCGCTGGCTCCGACAGAGACGTTTTGAGGGTGGGCTCCTTGGACACCTCTAAGCCAAGGTCATCGGGCATTCTGAAGAGACCTCAGACCTTGGCGATCCCGGACGCTGCCGGAGGAGGCGGTCCTGAGACCAGCAGGAGGAGGAACGTGACCTTCAGTCAACAGGTAAAAGGGGACGTGGGGAGGCTCGAGGGCAGCATGTGGGCACCCCTGGTCAGCTGGGACGACAAAGGTCCATCCGGAAGGAAATTCCCACATGTCACCCAGGTGAGCTAGAGGACTCTGGCCCTTTAGAAGATAGTGTCTGAGACACCCATATGTTCACTTGCCTGACAGTGGAATGAATTCTCCACCTGGACGGTCCACCCCTGGGCAGCGAGTTCAGGGCACCTGTGGGGTGGGATCTGTCACCCTGGCCAGGAATTAACATGACTATATTTTAGAACACTGTTACCTTGGCCCAGAGGTCATCTGGGCCAGGCCTGTCCCCCAGCGACAGGTGGTTACAGGTGTTACCTGAGCTCCACTTATTTCTAGTATTTTGCCCTCAACGTCCAGGCTACAGCCCATGCTGGCTGCTGTACAAATCTGGCGCCCACAAATCTGAGTCTTCCTAGAAGACAAAAACAAAATGAGAAACTTTCAGATGTTTCTGGGACCCCCCATCACTCCCTCAACAGCTGCTTCTCCTGTCTGAGGTCTCTCGGGGGCATGACAGCTTCTACCACAAATGACCTTCTGGAGCTGGAAGACCTCTGGAATTGTATCTCCCACTCACTTGTGGGGCAGCTGTGTGGAGCTTTGCCAGTGTTCAGGATCCATGATCTTGAGGAGGCTGCTTTATTTTATTTTATTTTTTTTGAGAGAGAGCCTTACTGTCACCCTGGGTAGAGTGTCGTGGCGTCACAGCTCACAGCAACCTCAAACTCTTGGGCTCAAGTGATCCTCCTGCCTCAACCTCCCAAGTAGCTGAGACTATAGGCACCTGCCACAGTGCCTGACTAGTTTTTCTTTCTTTTTTTTTTAGAGATAGAGTCTCACTTTGTCGCCCTCAGTAGAGTGCTGTGGCATCACAGCTCACAGCAACCTCCAGCTCTTGGGCTTATGCAATTCTCTTGCCTCAGCCTCCTGAGTAGCTGGGACTACAGGCGCCTGCTACAATGGCCAGCTATTTTTTTTTGTTGTTGCAGTTTGGCCAGGGCCCAGTTCAAACCCACCACCTTCGGTATATGGAGCCAGCGCCCTACTCACTGAGCCACAGGTGCTGCCCTAGTTTTTCTATTTTTAGTAGAAACAGGGTCTTGTTCTTGCTCAGGCTGGTCTTGAACTCCTGTGCTCAGGCAATCCACTTACCTTGGCCTCCCAGAGTGCTCGGACTCCAAGCATCATCTTTAAAGTGGCCTGGCTAGTTGCCACCCCAGGAGCTGCAGGAGTAGCCATCACTTCAGTAAGAACCCAGGGTCCTTGGGCCAGATCCTCTAAGACTGAGACTGACTTGCCCAGGTCCCCCAAGGGATGCCACTCCCCAGCCCTGCCTGACCCTGCCCAGGTCCACATGGGACCAGAACAGATGGGTCCTCAGGCTCCTTCCCTGGGGAGACCTGATGTCCCTTCTCTGTGCCTGGGAAGACTCCCCAGTTTAGCCTGTCTTGTGGTGGCTGTCTGATTCCCCCCTAAGCATGACAGAACTTTGTGTGCATTTCTCTGGTGTATTATGGCCGAGGAGCCCTCATGCCACTCCGTAGCCACTGAGGCTCTTCCTAAGGAGGGACCCTGCCAAGGTGTATACAGGCAGCTCCTGATTTGCAGACATCTAACGTATGTACAACTTGCACTTAGAAACAGGGGCTATTACAGATAACAGATAAATGTTCCTATTCCATCTTACATTCAAATTCAACCTAAGAACATATTTACAGAACCTGGTTAGGACACCAGCCACATGCACTGGGGCTGGTGGGTTTGAACTTGGCCCCGGCCTGCTAAAACAAACAAAAATAGCCGGGCATTGTGGTGGGCACCGTAGTCCCAGCTACAAAGGAGGCTAAGGCAGAGAATTGCTTGAGCCCAAGAGTTTGAGGTTGCTGTGAGCTGTGATGCTACTGGGGATCGCAAAGTGAGACTCTGTCTCAATTAAAAAAAAAAAAAAAAGAAGGTATCTACAGAACCTAACTTGTTCGTAACCCAGGGACTGCCTGAATTAATGTTTGCAGGGAAGTATATTAAGGCTTCCCGAGCCCATTCTCAACCTCATTTTCAAAGAGTCATCAACGCTGGGTCATCCCATCTGGTTTAAAAATTTAAACTGGCTTCTCCAAACAGTTTTGTGGGTATGGTTGAAAATCTCATCTTTATCCTTTTTTTCCCCTATTTCCATTCTCTGGATAGTGTAGTTTATGCCTCAGTCCTTTGAGGAAAGCAAAAAGCATTGCTAAATATAAACCCACCCAGGCTCGAGTGGACTCGGAGGTGTAATTTTAGCAGCCTTCCTCTGGCAGGCGTGGGCACCGTGCTCTGCTGATGTGGGTGCCCTGGGACCCAGTGCTGCCAGTTCTCTGCCTCCTTCCCGGCTGGGGTAACCAGGTGCTGACAAGGCCTGAGGTGCACACATGACAGAGCCACCTGCCCTCTCTGGGTCCTTCTGTCCAGGGAGAATTTTGAACTGATGATCCTGGTCACCTCGAAATATGTCTTTCAGGCTGGGGGGGGGTGGCTCGTGCTTGTAATCCTAGCACTCTGGGAGGCTGAGGCGGGAGGATCTCCTGAGCTCAGGAGTTCAAGACCAGCCTAAGGAAGAAAGAGACCTTCCCCCTCCCCCATCTCTAAAAATAGCCAGGCATTGTAGTGGGTGCCCGTAGCCCCAGCTTCACGGGAGGCTGAGGCAGGAGGATGGCTTGAATCCAGGAGTTTGAGGTTGCTGTGAGCTGTGATGATGCAACGCCCTCTATCCCAGTGACAGAATGAGACCCTGTCTCAAAAAAAGGGGACAATGCCTTTTGCAGGAAAAGAGAGGCTTATGTAAGGTGTGGAATTGAATGGGTCCATGTTTCTGTTAGTTCAAATTTATTTCCTATTTCTTTCTTTCTTTTTTTTTGCAGTTTTTGGCCGGGGCTGGGTTTGAACCTGCCACCTCTGGCATATGGGGCTGGTGCCCTACTCCTTTGAGCCACAGGTGTCTCCCTATTTCCTATTTCTTAAGGCTTGCCTCCCACCTTGTGGCACAGATCTTGTATCCTGTTGCCACACTGTGGGCACACCCCAAATGAAATTCTATTCTTAGCTGCTCCCGGGTCTCAGGGATGACCCGATGTCATTCCTCGAGTTAGAGGTCGGTGTCTGTGCTAGTTAACACTGTCTGACAGGTGGACGCACCTTCCCGGCCTCCATGTGTGGTGATCCTGGAAGTGTGTTCATGGTAGGCCATGTGCCTCCCTGCCATGAGGGGCTTGGGGCTCTGATGCCAGGTGTTTGGGGCTTCCTCTCCAGGTGGCAAATATTCTACTCAACGGCGTCAAGTATGAGAGTGAACTGACTGGCTGCAGTGAGCAGGCAGAGCAGCCCCTGTCCATGAGGCGCCTCTGCGCCACCATCTGCCACATGCCTGCCGCACTGCGCAGTCTCTGCGTCAACCACTTCCTGGGTGAGCTCTCTGCAAAGCTGCCCTGAGGGGCCCAGACCTGCTGCCTGTCCCACGGGTCCTACCCACCTGCTGCCCCAGGCAATACCAAGAGCTGAGGGTGGGTGCAGGGCTGTCCTGGGGGGCCTTCCTCCAGATGGCCCCAGTTAAGCTGGGTGTGTGGCTGAGAGCTCAGCCTGTAAGACCCAAACCTCTGAGGACGACCACAGTTAAGTGAGGACCCCACTGCCCCCGCCGCCTTGCTCTACCGTGGAAGTGCTGGGTGTTGAAATGACTATGGAAAATTCCCAGCTCTCATTTCCTTCCATTTGGTAGCTCTTTGTTGCTGAGTTTTTAAACATCTGGGGATGATTAAGAATCTGAGCCAGGCCCACATGGTGGCTCACACCTGTAATCCCAGCACTTTGGGAGGTTGAAGTGGGTGGATTGCTTGAGCTCAAGAGTTTGAGACACCAGCCTGAGTAAGAGTGAGACTCCATCTCTAGCCAGGCTCTGTGGTGGGCGCTTGTAGTCCCAGCTATTTGGGAGGCTGAGGCAAGAGGATCACTGGAGCCTAAGAGTTTGAGGTTACTGTGAGCTATGACGATGCCATGGCACTCTACCGCGGTGACAAAGTGAGACTCTGTCTCAAAACAAATTTGGGACATAATCAATATAACCTCATAAGAGGCAGTTTAGCAATAGGCGAGATTCTTGACAATGTTTAAACCTTTATCCCAGCGACCTTACTGGTGGTTCCATGCCAGCCCGTGGCAGAGACAGTATCAAGAATATACGTGCAGGGTCCTAGTCACAGCTGGGCTTATAGCAGCCGCACACTGGGATAGGGGTATGTGGGCGGCAGTAGGGGAAGGTGAAACATGTTATGGTGCATCCACATTGTGAAGTATTTTGCTGCCATTAACATGAGCCTGCTTAGTAATATTTGATGGCACAGGAAGTTGTGTGATGATTTATTACTTTTTTTTTTTTTTTGCAATTTTGGCCAGGGCTGGGTTTGAACCCACCACCTCTGGTATATGGGGCCAGCACCCTACTCCTCTGAGCCACAGGCACCACCCAGTGATGATTTATTACAAGAGAGCCAATAGGCTCGGCGCCTGTGGCTCAGGTGGCTGGGGCGCCAGCCATGTAAACCCAGGGTGACAGGTTTGAATTCAGCCCAGGCCCACCAAACAATGATGGCTGCAACCAAAAAATAGCCAGGCGTTGTGGTGGGCGCCTGTGATCCCAGTTGCTCGGGAGGCTGAGGCAGGGGACTCGCTTGAGCCCAGGAGTTGGAGGTTGCTGTGAGCTGTGATGCCACAGCACTCTACCCAGGAGGACAGCTTGAGGCTCCTATCTCAAAAAAAAAAAGAAGAGAGCCAATAAATGCCCAGTGGCTCTACCAAAGAAGGAATTGGCGGGAGGTCAGAGGCCAGAGCTCGGAAGTCTTCTTGCTAACAAAGCGAGCTGGATCCATAGCGCCCTCTGCACTTGCTAAGATAAGCTGGAGCACCAGGGTCATCCTCTTGCCTCGTGTTTGTTGAAATCTGTATTTATTGAAAACAAAAGACTGGGAGGAAACCTGCACAATTTTACCAGAGGTTGTTTCTGCGTGGGGGAAGTGATAGGTCATTTCTTCTTTGATTTGTGACTCTATAAAGATCACGTGTTACTTTTAGAAACGGCAGAGTTTGCGGGTTACGAACGGGCAGCCTGTGGTCGCGCCCCTCTCTCCCTGCAGGGTGGCTCTCGTTCGAGGGCATGTTGCTCTTCTACACGGACTTCATGGGCGAGGTGGTGTTTCAGGGGGACCCCCGGGCCCCACACACGTCGGAGGAGTATCAGAAGTACAACCGGGGCGTTACCATGGGCTGCTGGGGCATGTGCATCTACGCCTTCAGTGCCGCCTTCTACTCAGGTACCAGCGCGTGTCCTCTCCTGGTGGTGATGGCCCTTGGTCAGTCACTGGAGGGTGCAAAGCGAAGGAAGGCTGTGTCTTTATGGTCACAGGCACAAATCCTAAGGGGAGAGGGGTACTGCTATCTTTTCTCAGGGCCTTGGCCCTGCCAACTGCACTGGGCCTGGCCCTGGGGGAGCGGGCGTCCCCCGATAGTGGGGATCTGTGGGCGTCAGGCCTGCAAGGAGCTGGCAGCCCCTCAAGGGGACAGGTTTGTGTCTAGAAAACCCCAAGGCCACCCCAGGTATGTGTGCTGTCCACCAGCCCCTGCATCTTTCCCACCTGGCTTCATGGAGCAGCTGGAGGGGGTTGGAGTGAGCACAGAGGGACAGGTGGCACGAGGTTGTGGAGGATGTGGGTGGGCAGGGCCCAGAATCCCCGAGGGCGCTGTGGGACACAGCAGATGGTGCTGAGTTTGCAATCCCAGGGATACCAAGCCACATGTGCACTGGGCACATCTCATCTAGGGGTGCACACACTTTTGAGGAAAGGCCTAACAGTAGACATTTCCAGCTCTGCAGGCCAAATGTCTCTGCTATGGTCACTCACGGGCGCCCTGTGACTCTCATGGGGAGTAGCCAAGTGGCCACAAGCCAGGAAAGCTGTATGTCCACTGAAATTTGAATCTCACAGAAATTTCATGTGCCACAAAAATATTTGACTTCTTTTGATGGATTTTTTAACCATTTAACAATATCAAACTATCCTTAGCCCCAAGGCCACACAAAAGCAGGCCTCAGCCAGACGTAGCCTGGCACTGCGGGCTGCCTGACCTTATGTCCCTCTCGGCGAGTCCCAGCTGTGCAGCACAGAGTCACTGGGAGGCCTTGAGTTTGTTACGGCTCACTGTGAGCCCTGGTCAGCACCAGGGGTTGGGTCCCCTGTACTAGGTTGCTGCCGGATATGGAGAAATCACCCATTTTATCTGATTCTGGGAGGCACAGTGGTTCCCTCTAGGTTGTGTCTTCCAGGCAGCTCACAGCAGTCAGTCAGGGGGTGGTCCCCACTGATGGTGCCCCACTACAGGACAGGGGCAGGACAATAGTCCACACAAGGGCACAGGTCCTCTTTGGTCTTTCAGTCCAGAGACCACCTTGCCTGTAGAAATCCCTAGGGACCTGGCAGAGGCCAGTGTGAACAAGGACACCCCAGGTCCTGCCGTCCCTCTGGACAGCCCTGCCCTGGGTGCCCACTAGAGTAGCTGAAGGGTCTCTCAGCTCCCCCAGATCCCCTAGGAAATGCTTTCTAGCATTTCTAGCCTGAGGCAGGTGGCCTGCCAAGCTGGTTCCTGCCACTGCCAGCTTTAGGGTGAGCCTGGGAGGGGGTCCTGGGGCTGGGAGGTGGCCGCTGACCCTCCCTCTGGCCTGCAGCCATCCTGGAGAAGCTGGAGGCGCTCCTCAGCGTCCGCACCCTCTACTTCATCGCCTACCTCGCCTTCGGCCTGGGGACGGGGCTGGCCACGCTGTCCAGGAACCTGTATGTGGTCCTGTCGCTCTGTGTGACCTATGGGATCCTCTTCTCCACGCTCTGCACCCTGCCCTACTCTCTCCTCTGTGACTACTACCAGAGCAGGAAGGTGAGTGCTGCCTGCTTCCCGGCTTTGGGGCTGCTTCTTGGAGAAATAGCACCTAAGACTCATCTCCTGGATGGCTACAGTCTTGGGGGCCACCCCTTCCTGCCCCATGGAGCCCAGGGCCTCTGTTAACGCGAGTCCCATCAGTTCAGAAGGAGGCCAGGGAGGTCCCAAACTCAGCAGCCGAGATCAATAACATTTTACTGCAGTATTTCCAGAAATCAGAGCTAATGCCAAAGTTCCACAGTAAATCAAAAAAATTAAATTTTAAATAAAGGCTGAATCAGTAACAGTGCCCTGGCCAAGCCGTACTGGCGTCTGAGGCAAAAACAAAAATGAGGAATACTGGTGCTGTCTTTTACAAAATGATGTTTTATTGACCATGGATTTTCCTTTAACAGCCGTGCTGGGCTATGGTGACCACGCCTCACCATCTAATTCACCCATGTAATGTGTGTGGTTAGTGCAATCACAGAGTTGTGTGACCATCCCCTTAATGAATTTGAAAGTGCTTCTGTCGGCCCAGAAAGAAGCCCCTCAGCCTCCCCCCTCCCATCTCCCTGCTTCCTGTGCCTGGTGCTGGATGTGTCACAGCATGTGGCCTTCCTTGTGTGGCTTCTGTGACTCTGTCTGGTGTTTCCAGGCTCCATCCATGCTGTGGCAGGTGTTGGGGCATCATTCCTTCTTGGGATCGCATTTTATTCCTGCCATGAATTTTCTGCAGTGACTTTGAAATCTGAAGCTATTGTGTTAAAATGTTATTGGGGGCAGTTTCTCTTGCCCCCCCCCCACCCCCCCCCGGTCTTGTGCCTCAGAGGCCTTGATTTGTTTTAAGGCGTTTGGAGTCTCAGCGGGTCAGCCCCAGACATAGCTCTTCCTGCAAGGATGGGATCAGCCAGTGCTGCCCCGTCTTGGGGTGGAGGCCAGGACGGCTCCTGCTCAGCTCCGGCTCAGTCACGCTAAGTGGGCAGTGTCCCCTTGTCAGCTCCCTGGAACCTACTGCCCCCTTCACAGGGACAAATAGATGTGGCAGTTTGTGGCAAAAGACTGCCCTTGCCCACAAGAGGGGACACAGAGGGCCCAAGGCCACTCTGCTCAGATCCACTCAGAGCTGATGGGAATTAGTGGCCTGCAGAGTCTCTTGGATGCTTCAGTGTCTGCAGCCTCCACTGGGTGGTGGGTCCAGTGACCACAGTGCCCAGAGGCCAGCACCCTGTAGACCACGTTCTTACCACTATCCCCCAGCAGGTGCGGTGGGTGGGACCTCTGGAAAAACAAGCTGAGGTCCAGGAGCTGTCCCCGTGATGGGGCATTTCAGGGTGAGTGACCAGCCTCCAGCTAGCACAGGTGAAGAAGAGGTTGAGCCAGGGCACAGGACAGCAAAGTGAGGAGAGCGTCCTGGAGAGCCAGCCCTGTTAGTCACAGATGCTTTTCTCTGTCATCATCTAAGCCCAAATATTTAACGCTTGGCTGAAATCCCTGTGCACGTCAGTGCTGGGAAATGGAATGCCGTAGTGCCTGGGCCACCCGTGCCTGCAGGGAACTTGGGGCTTGGTCACCTTGTCATCTGGGCCCTGCTCGGCCAGTCATGGCGGGTCTCACTGACGCGCGTCATCTTCTGGGTCAGTTTGCAGGGTCCAGCGCAGACGGCACCCGGCGGGGCATGGGTGTGGACATCTCTCTGCTGAGCTGCCAATACTTCCTGGCCCAGATCCTCGTCTCCCTGGTCCTGGGGCCCCTGACCTCGGCCGTGGGCAGTGCCAGCGGTGTGATGTACTTCTCCAGCCTCGTGTCCTTCCTCGGCTGCTTGTACTCTTCCCTGTGCGTCATTTATGAAATTCCCCCCAGCGACACCTCGGACGAGGAGCACCGGCCCCTCCTGATGAATGTCTGATGTGCCTGGACTTTGGACTCACGCCCTTCCTGGGGGGTCTGGAGCGAGGCTGAGCAATGACAGATTAAGGGTGTTGGGAGACAGGGGAACAGGCCTCCTGCTGGAATGTAAATATGTGATCAAGTAATAAACGGCAGCAGCAAAGCCTATAGTTTCTAGGTGTGGCCGTCCTGAGGGGCAAGAGGTCACCTGGGGATTGGGCAGAGGGGAGGTTTGTGAGAAGCATTTATTGAAAGCAGAGGTGTAACCCAGTGGTTCTCAAACAGTGGCTGCTTTAACATCCCTGCTCCCAGCAAGATGTTCAGCAATGTCTGGAGATACGTTTGCCTGTCACAACTCAGGTGGGTGCTACAGTCCAGGGGGGCACAGCCTCCTAGCAACCAAGAACTATCAAGTCCCAGATGTCAGCAGTGCTGAGGCAGAGAGAGCCTGGCCTAACCCAGCCGCGTTCTGTATGCTGTATCCCGGGCTAGAGTCAGAGCATTCGACTCTTTTGGATCAGGAACATCTTATCATTCATTCACTTACTCTCATTCATCCACATGTCTGTTCATCCACCCAGCCACCCAGCCACATATGCACCCACCCAACCACCCACCTACCCAGTCCCCCATCCACATATGCACCCACCCAATCACCCATATACTCATCTACATGTCTACCCTTCCACCCCTCCACATAGCCGCCCGTCTGCTCATCCACCCATCTGCATATCCAGCTACCCCTTTGTGCACCGTAGGGGTGGCAGGCAGTAGCAGGTGTGGGAGATGCAGCTGTGAGCCACCAGTCCCATCCTCACAGAACTGATGTGAGGGGAGGAGACAGGTAACACACTGAGGTTCTGTGCTGAAAGACGGCAGTGAGAACAGTGAAGCCATGAGGAGGGAAGGGGACAGGGTGACCGGAGAATGTCTGGTGGCCTCTCAGGGGAGATGCTGTTTGGGCAGTGCCCTGATGAAGAGAGGGAGCAATCTCAGTATTTGAGGGACCACAAGGACCAAGATGCTCAGATACAAAATGCCTGGAAGTGGCATCTCCAGGTTGCAGACGGTGCGCCCGGTCAAGGCCTGTCCTGTCCTCTGACCTGCCGGGGCAGGGGCTGGAGGGTATGGTACAAGCCATTCTTCCCTCTGGTGGCCGAGCGTAAATTCCACAGAGGATGCCAAGTGCCTGTGGTGTGCAGGTGCTGTACTGGGCCTGGGTTTGCACAGGCTGTGCCCGCCGCCTTCAGAGCCCATTTACAGGCCTAGACAAAGTTCAGACTTCTCCTGAGTGTGACAGTCCTTTGGCGTCTGGCCTCTGATCATCTTCCATCACTTGACACCCTGGTCCCAAGGAGGCCCCCTTTCAGATGTCCCAGGGAGGCTCTGTTCCCCATCCACAGGAGCGGGTCATGGCTGGATCATGGTTGTACCTGTTGCATCATAAGTGGGTCTGGCATGGAGTTGTGCAGCCTCAGCACCCTCAGTGCATGGTCCCTAAGTCTTGGGGACACATTAGGCACTCCAATCACAAGTCCAAAACAACAGTGGTCCTGGGGCCTCTTACTAGCCTCTCAGGAGAGTCTGAGGTTTATGGCAGTGTCCCATCCCCTTGCTGTGACCAATTAGGGCCAGATGAAGAACATGACCCTTTGCAGGGCACTGTGGCCACCTCCCTTCCTGGGCCACAGACTCTACACCTAGTCCTCTCCCTCAGTGCCACTGCCTGCTACTGCCTTGGAGCTGAGGTGGCCCTTATGGGGCCACCACATGCCAGGATCTTGGCCTCCAGTTTAGCCTCATGTCCATCCTCCTCCTGCAGTTGGGGGGTAGTGAATACAGGTCTGAGCCCATTCCTCCTTCCCTAACACCTCTGGGGCTCCCCAGAGCCTAAGAAATCAAGTGTAAATCCCTTACCCCCATCTGGGTGCCACTTCTGGAGCCACGTGTCCTCAGCCTCCTGTTCCACAGCATGAATCCTCACAGCTGCAGACACTCCTGTACCTGTGTCCAGGCTCTCACTGCAGGCCAGTCCACCTCTCATCTGTCAATATCTGAGTCTTCCATTTAGATTCGGCTAATACACCACCTCCTCCATGCAGCCCACCCTGGTTGGAATTAGTGAATCCTTTCTCTGTGCTTCATGTCATGCCATTGTACCCTTTGTGGTTATGAGCTAAAGGAGGCAGGTGTGCAAGTGAAGCACAGAGAAATCCAACTGCTCACGCCACACAGCTCCTTTCAGCCTGCTGGTCCCCCACCTCCTGTGCAGACTCATCCTGCCATATTGAGGATACCGCTTCGAAGAGCTTTAGATTTTCTGGGTAATGTGTTGGATGGCTGTCCTCTGGCCTGTGCTGTTTTTGCCCAGAAATGGTCGATCCTGCAAGAGATGAAGGGTAGGGAGGCTGCCTCGTAATCGTGCCTCATTAAATCCTAGACTCTCTTCTAGCTAGTACTTTCTAGGTGAACAGAGACTGTGTCTCTGTGTGGGAATGGCTGTGTCAGTTGGGACAGTGGGCAGAGCAGAGCACCAGAGCGCCCTTGACCTGGGTCTGTTCCTAGCAGGTGGCAGTGGCAGCAGACACGGGATCCAGACCTGAGGCCCAGGACTCTTGGAAAGCCATGTGTCAGAGGACTGCCCTCCAGGTACAGACTATGTGTACCCTGTATGTGGTGACAATTACGGGAGCACCGATGCACACCTCCCTCCTCCTGACCCTTAGGAGGTGTCATTGACCCATTTCATAGACCTGCTTGGCCCAGGTCACAAGAGTCATGTGCTGATACTTGGGAAGGCTGGGAGTTGAACCTGGGGAATCTGACTCCAGATCTCAGGCTGCTAAACACTCTCAGAGCGGGCGGGCAGCTTCTTTCCCTGTCACGGGACCCACGATGGCCCCTGCCTAGAGCTGGGCTCAGAGGGAGCTTCTCTGAGGAAGGAGGAAGAGAAGATTCACTTCTCTGGCCACTCCAAACAAAGACCACACCACCAAAATCTGAAGCGGCTCTAGACTTTCCCCTCTGTAAATCCTTCATGCTGGTTGGAAGCGACACCTCCCAGCTGCCTGAGAGCGGTGTCCACAGCCTTTAGAGGGAAAACCTATGTCCAACCGAGGTAATGGACTGCAAGGTCGCAGTCCTCAGGGGCGTCTCCATCATCCTCAGCTGTTGGGCTACGCTTGGGCCACCCCCGGGCACACAGTGCACCAAGTGCTCACTGATCCGAGGGGACAGAGATGCTTGTGCTTGAAAACATAGGACACCTGGCTAGGCCCACCGAGCAGCAGGGATCCCAGGTCTCTCCACCCACAGGTGTGTGCAGATGGCGTTCAGCGTGTGAGGGTGACGGGGCAGGTGCACATGTCCTGGAGGTAGAGCACCTTCAAGGCAACAAGGGCAGTAGCAGTCCCCTGGGGGACTTTCCAGGGTCCAAGAGCAGTTATGAAGACAAGATGCTTGGCAATAATCCATTGCAGAGATCCACTGAGGGATCCTTTTCCACTCAGGAAGCACAGTATCTACTATATACATCCCAGTTACTGGGGGGCAACGCATCAGAGAATGGAAGACACCTCCTGTCCTCGTTCTAACTGCTGCCCTATGCCTGGTTCTTGCCAACCTGCCCAGTCACCTGCTCCAGGAAACATACAAAATGCTTCCTGTCATCCCCACGTCCCCTGCCCTGGATCACCTCAGGACGCTGCAACTCACCCCTGCACGAGAGCCACAGGCCTCTCACTGGGGTGGCAGCTACTGTTGCCTGGCAGCCAGGCCTCTGCTCTGCAGCACAGGCAGTGCGGAAGAGGCAGGTGACGGGCAGAGAAAACAAAGGTCTTGCAAAGTGCCATGGCCTCAGGAATCTTCTCTGGGCTAATTAAAGAGTGTCTTAAAATCCTTTCTCTCTATACATATATACTTTTTTCTCGAGACAGTCTTACACTGTTGCCCTGGGTAAAGTGCTATGGCGTCATCATAGCTCCCAGCAACCTCGAACTCTTGGGCTTGAGTGATCCTCTTGCCTCAGCTTCCCAAATAGCTGCAGGTGCCCACTTCTTCTGAGCTCAAGCGATTCCCCCACCTCAGTCTCTGTCCCACTGGCCTGTGACCTGCTCAGGAAGAGACACCCTTCTGTTCCGATTCCTAACCTCAGTCCAAGAACGTGCCTAGACCTTTCTGGGTTGGCCAGGTGACACTGGGGTGGTTAAGTTCATTTCCCTGCCTGCTTCACGTTACCATTCTCACCACATGGTCAGGCCACAGCTGGTGAGGGGCCTCTCTGCGTGACTCCTCAAGCTTCCGACCCTGACCTGCACCTTTCCGCTCTTGGCATCATGCCTATGGGGCTCGGTGCTGGCTGGGAGGGGCCTCTGGTCAGGTCACGGCTGACCTCCCCATGGGGTATCCCTGTACCGACCACAGACGTTTTGTAACAAGGCAGCCACGTACCCAGCCGTGTTCCTTGTGCCATGCTCTGCCAAGTGACATTTTCTTAGCCCATTGTGGTGTAACTGGAAAGGGCTGCCGAGCCACCATGCCCCAGCTGCGGATCTACAGGAACAGATGGCAGAGGGCACACCAGGGTCAGTGCCGGGCTGCAGGAGAGACCTGGCCTGTGCAGTGTCTTCCTGCAGGTCCCTGTCGGCAGGCTTGACCCTCCTTGGGATGGTGTGTGGCAGAGTGGTGGCAAAGGCCACAGTTGTCCACACCTTAGAAACTGTCACAACCTGTTCAGCTCTGATGAAGGCTCACTCAGGTCTTACCATTTAACCACCTTGAAATGTTTCATAAACGAGTGTCCATTACAAACTCTAATTTCATAAAGAGCAGTCTCAAGGAGAGACCAGCAAAGTTGGTTCCTCACACCAGCCTGTCCTGCCCACTGTAGCCCACAATTCCCCACACCCAGTTGCAGGACCACCCCTGTACCCTGGCCACAGGACCTGACTGGAGAGCCACCACTCTGCTTGACTGTCCTCCCAGCCTTCACTACTATGGGGCTGACCCTGTTTGGTATAAGGGTGGTTTACTGAGAGTGACCTCTCTGGACTGCTCTTGTCCCATCTCTTGAAAATATCTAGAAAATCATGACTATATCCCAGATGAAAAAGGGAGCATAAAAATCTCCAGGGACAGTCCTGAAAATGTCCTTCAGGAAAATGAAGCAC